GGGATTTGGTGTTTCTGATCTATATTATAATCCATGTTCGATGTGGTTGCAATGTGACAATGTCCTGAAACCCCCTCTCCCTCTTTTCTATACAGCTTGTTTACGTGCTCGGAATTTCTTTTGCCTGCCCAACCCAGCGACTTTGTTGTTGGGTATTTATTGATATCTAAGTTTGGTAGAGGTAGAATGAGTCATTTTGAATGACACTAGTTTTTATATGAATCATATTCGTCCGTTTACATTTTAGTACTGTAGACGTTAGGGGTTCGGTAACATTAGTATACGGTGCTACCCGAGTGATTTTATCAAGGCACACCGAACTCGGCACATACCCCAACTTTGGACATGCGGCTCCAGCCTTGAGCCAAGAATCTCAACATTAGAAACATGGCTCCAGCTGGAAATTCGCGTGTCCAATTTGTGAAATCGCGCTTCCACTAGAGGAGGCGCTTCCAAGCCCGCTTTGAGGGTCCCTCACGTCCCCATCTTGACTGTGGGCGACTTGAGCACTCATTTGACCATCCCAAGTCCCTTGGGCACCAATCTCTTCACCTGGACCAGCCCAAGTCGCCTCCTCCAAGCCAGCTCTCTTCATTCTCTGCCAATTGTATCTCAGGTTTTGCTATTATCCTCAACTTTGTGGAACCTTTCAGCATTTCTGAACCAGCTACTCCTTGTGCACATTGTGCACATTAGGTCTGTTTTTCTATACTCATTTAGTGTCCTCATACTGAGCCAGGTAAGCGTCACGCATCCAGTCCAGGCATGCGTTTCGCATCATAGACCCCCCACCCGACCCGACCAGGGTTTGGTCTGGCCCAGCCGAGGCGGGTTCGGGTCTAAGTGGGAATATACGCGTATAGCGTATATGCGCGTATCGTATATACGCTAGCGTATATACGCTATCCGCTTAGAAGTTCGGTTTGGAGATACGCTTTTTTGGGCAGAGAAAAAACTTTCCGGGCAGGTGAAAAAAAGTACTCCCTATTCTTACTAAGGCTTGCCCTAGCATAATCCTGAATCCGAATGACTAGTGCAATGGGAGGTGGAGTAGACCTAATAGCTTGAAAGCAAAGTAGCGTGAAATCTGGTGAAAGCGGGAACGAAATGACGAGTTAGGGTTAGCCAACAGGGCTGGCTGGTAAGTACCGTGAAATTTGTTGGGGGGGTTAATTTTGACAGGTTGGAGTTTGTAGATAAAGTGGAGTTCAATGCGGTAGAAGGGATGGATTTCAATCCCTAGATGGGATCTGAAATTCAACATTTGCCAGACGACTTTGAAGTCAGATCAGATCCCCGTTTGCCTAGACTGCGGATTTGAATTTCGACTACGGCGAAATGCTCAGCTCACCTAGGAAATCCGCATCTTTTTTGCGATTTTGTTTTTTGGGCAGCCCTAAAAAAATTCTGATAGCGTATAGCGTATTCGCTAGCGTATAGCGGATAGCGTATGTACGCTAGCGTACATACGCTAAACGCTTAAGGTGTTAAGCGTATATTCCCACTTAGGTTCGGATCAGATCGACCCGTAGTCGGGTCAGAACCCTGCTGGCGTTGACCGGGCTTGGTCTTGTTGAGGCTGGGTCGGACGTGATCCGGAAACGGGCCGGGTCGACCTGACCTACGTTGGCAGATACGCGCTTCTCGTATTATATGCAAGCGTAACTACGCTATTCGCTAGTGGTCCATTTTGGAATCACGAGAAAATTTGCAGAAAAAAAAGCTTCTCGGGCAGTTCGGAGAAAACATGTTAAAGCGGTGGTCGGGTGGGGTGGGAAACAAAGATACAAATTTTCTACAAATTCTGTACACGAGTTTGAAATCGCCAGGGTTTAGCAATTATGTGGCGATTTCGAAGCGTATTTGCATATTCCGTATATTCGCAGGCGGATATTCAGGATCTGCCAACATAGGACCTGACCCTAAGTCGGGTCGAAAGGGCGGTGGCCACGGCTTCCCACACTGCCCCACTTACGCTCGCAGGAGGACGCGTAAACTGGCTGAGTGAGCACCCAGCATGCAAGGTTTGCCTGCTCGGGGTAGTCGTTGCTGTGCCACGACCACCACTGCACCATTCTCTGCTCTCCAGATTTCACTGCCCCCCACGCTGCAATGGCAGTCGGCTTGCCAAGTTAATGTAAGCCAACAAGCCCTTCTGCAGCACAAGAAAAGGTTCGACGAGGGACGACATTCTTGCCCCACTTGAAGGTGATGTTCTCATAATGGTGTTCAATGTAGTCCTTAGAAACTCGGGTGCATTCCACAGCACTCCTGAAGATCCCCTCCTCCTTGTTGACCAACCACGTGCATGGGGCAGGCTAGCAAGTTGTGCCACCTGTCCTTCACAATCCGTGATCTCCACCGCCTCCGTCGGCGGCGTCCAAATTGTCGTGCATGTCTTTGGTTAGCATGATATCATACAGCTCGCCCATCATCCCTTTAGCAGTTCAGTACGCGGCCCGCATGGCCGTGAAGGGCAGCTGCATGAGAGACACGAATAAATCAGGCACCTTCTACCACCCCTCATCCATCGCATAACCCCTGAATGTGTCTCCCGCAGCCTGCTTTCCCTCTCCTTTCGTTCATTGCTTAGTACAAGATGCGTCAGCCCTCGCCCCACACAGTATTCAACACATATTTCCACTTCCCCCGGTCAGTAGTGGGCTCCACATGAAAGCGCGGGTGAAGTGGTGGTTGCGCAGGTAGTTAATCATCTCCCCCGCCCTCTCCACGGCCGCCTTCGCCTTCCTCTCCTCTCCTCTCCTCTTCCATTAACAGGTCTAGCACGTGCGTGGCCCACGGCACGTGCTCAGCATGAGGGCAAGAAGTCGCGATCTGCTTGGCAGCCGGTACACCGCCACCACATTCTTCCGCCCCACCTTATCCGTGATGGTGCGGAGAATGCTGGCGACATATACATCCTCCCCCCTCCCCCCCCCCACCCCCCCCCCCCCACCACACACACGTCTTCGTTTCCATGTTGCAGTCCAACTGCATCCACGAAAACTGCCTCCAATTTGTTCACAAGGAGGATGTTGGCTTGGGGCCGGCCATAACGGCCAGTCATCATGTCGGACGCTACGGTGACACCATGCCGTCTCCAATTCGCGATAACTGGGGTCAGCGAACTCTCCATGCGTTGCCGACACTTTTGCAAGCCCGCCTCTCCAACATAGCGCCTCTTGGGGGGGACGTAGGAGGGTGGAGGTAAAGCACTTGATCAGCGATGCTCTCCGGCAGCCGCAGCCCCGCGAACACAGGGCATATCGCGTCATCCGCAACTTCCTTAGCGCATGTAAAAAATCTGAGAAAATGTCGGCGATCTTGCCCTTCTTACCAGCACCACCACTGACAACGCCAAGTGCGGCATCGGGGCGGCTTCAGTCGCCCCCAGCTTTCCTGTCCTGCCAACTTCTCCTCGTACATACTCAGCATATCTGCCAGATACGCGTTTCTCGTATAATATGCAAACATACGCGAAAAAATGCTGGAGCTGGCAGAAACAACAGAACCTCAGGCACATGGGAGAAAGTTGTTTAAGCGGTGGAGAGGTGGGGTGGGAAACAAATATTAAATCCCACTACCCTCCACCCTGCCCACTAGCAAGCTATGTAGCTTCTTAACCACCACCCCTTCCACACTGAATTATACTTTTTAGCCAGGACTTCACCCTCCCACTCCTCCTCTTGCATGTCGTCCTCCTCCTCATCCACCCTTGCGGAATAGGGTCATCCAGGATGGTCCCGGTCACAACCACAGTGTCTCATCCTTGGTTCGAGTCAAACAGATCTTAACAGACTGGTCTTCAAAAGCAGTGTGGGAGAATTACATACAGTAGGTCCTTACAGGGTTACCAGCTTAGTCAGCAAGCCAATGCCAGCGGGGATAGAGCTGGTGATCTGGTTGCTCGCGAGAGAAATGTCCAAGACATCGAGACGAGGGACAAGCGGAGGGGATGCAAGGGAGATGGACAAATTGGTGAGAAGGAAAGTAGGATGGTGATACTAGCATGAGACTGGACATGAGGAAGGATCAATCGGGTTCTCCCACCCAGTTTGAACCGCACCAGCCTGATGGCCATTTAAGGTCGGATTCCAGTCAGCCATTGGCGGTTCGTCACAGGCTAGCTCGAGTTTGGCCTGAATCAAATTCGCTGAATCACATTTTCCAGGGCTTTGTTTTTCTGTCAACGAATGTTTCAGTGCCTAATGAAAGAAAATTATGTCACACAAACACAGAGAATCACCATCTTCAGAAATCTTGTCCTGTCGTGCCCTGCCTTGGCTCTGCCCTGGCTCGACCCTTGCTCGTGCCTAACTAGTGGTACTACAATAATCTTCATTGCACAATCTGCGAAGGCTTCTGACAAAGGAACACAATACAACAAATCTTTATTCAATATGATATTCTCAACTGGTCCATCAGGAAATTTGGAAACTTGGAACCCAATTACAAGTAAGAGCAGTGAGCTGTGTGATCGAGGAGGGCACAAATCCTGACAATAAGTTGGAGTCGAGAGAGCTGTTGGTGGTGTGGCAGGTGGACGAATCGGAAGAGGAGAGTCAACTTTATTCATGTGTATGCAGGAGAGGATAGGAAAGAGAATGGAGGGAGTGGCGGGAAAGAAATTTTGAGGCAAAGGAGGTAACAAAGTTGAGAGGGACGAGATAGTAGGAATCACACATTAGCATAAGTCTGAGTCGACGGATCAGCTCATCAAATCACATCGTCAGCAGGGTGTGCTGTGCTGAGCGAATCCTGCTCCGCCGGCTTGGGGGGTGGCTCGACGAGCCGGGCTTATCAGACCTGGCAGTCTGGTAGTCAAGTAGTATGATCATCACCTAGCCTTGACTGGCTTGATGGACGAGCCACCAGCCGAGTCAGCGGCCGAATCGTTGAGTGAAGTCTCCAGCCAGCTTGTCCTCCTGCTTGTCTCGGCTCAAGACGAGCCAGCTCGACCCAGCCCAGGCTTATGCTCACGTGGCAGAAAGGAGCCTTACAGAGATGCCAGAGATAGTAGAGAGCCAATTTCCACAGGAATTGAACCCGTGAGCTGATTACCCCCGAGCGACCTGCCATTCCGAACGAATGCAAGAAGGAAGAACCAGACCAGCAGGTGGGATTCTACCATGGGCAAGCACAAGGGCAGTGACCCCTGTCAGACGGAGGGCGGAGGGATGTTCAAGTTCCCATCACGACGAGCCTCTAGGATGATGATGCACCAGTATGCGAAGAGGAATGCTGGTGGGCTTTCTGAAGGAAAACGTTTCATGAAACTAGGGCAGTAAGAAGAACAGTGAGATCGTGGGGCTCACCAAAGTATGGAAAAATCATCTGAACACCACATTTGAACTACAACAACCCATCCATTCAAAACACTGGACAAAGGGGGCGCTTCACGAATGACTTCAATGCGTGCACGCACGTATGTATCAAAGTCACCCCCTTATGTTCTTAGCTCACGCTCAACATGAGAAAAGCTCTCCTGTGAGAGGAAACTGATAGCACTAGACTAGAGTGCAACTGACAGGCGAGAAACTTGGGTGAGTGTGCTGATGGTAGCGGGAATGCTGGCAGACAGTTGGTTGCTTGACATCTCTGAGTGGAAAAAGAATGCCAAATTATAAGTATCACTGAGGCTGAGGTTATAGTGAGGTGATACAAGTACGCATGAGCACAAAAAATAACCGCGGTTCGGTTCGGGGCGGTTCGGTTCGATTTTACCCAACTATACCGTTTTTTTTTTTGCGGCCGGTTTGTTACTGAACCGGTTCGATTTGTTACCAAACCGGTTCTCCTGTTCGGCCGGTTTGTTTTCAACTAGAGATGAGCATATGCCCCGCGCGGGTCGGGCCGGCCCGACCCGACCCGTGGTTTAGCCCGGGTCGGGTCAGTGGATTCATTTGCCTGGCCCGTGCGGGCCGACCCGACCCGACCCGGGCTAAAACCCGACCCGTGCATGGAACTCGGGCCGAGTCGGGTCGGGTTTCGGGTCAGGCTTGACCCGACCCGAATTCGGGTCAGGACCAGGGAAATCGGGTCAGGCTTTTGGCCCGACCCGATTTTGACTCTGCAGTGTACGAAACCCTAAACAAATTTGATGTCGAGGGGATTCTTACCCTCGACATCAGAACCTTCCCACGCGCCTTGGCGCCAGAGTTCAGCCACTAATGTCACCTAAGCTAAGTTATTAGTTAGTTTCCAGCCTACGAAAGCATGTTATCCGACATATCTTGCTACTATGAAGGCGATAATCTGCAGTTTTAGGAAATCGCGCTGTTGGAATAGCGTATGTCACGATTTCGCGTTGTACTAGTGCGATTTCACCTTAGAAGCTGCACGCCCTTTCTTAGAACAAAAACACTCGCGTTCCACTACAGACCCTAAACACCACTGCCCTCTATAAAGGGGCGGGTCAGCCTGGCCCGACCCGACCCGACCCGTGACCGGGTCCAAGTTGACCCGAGTGCGTAAGCCCGGGTCGGGCCAGAAGTTTCAGGAACCTGGCCCGAGCCTGGCCCGACCCGACCCGACCCGGGAGCCCGTGTGGCCCGGCCATTTGCTCATCTCTATTTTCAACAACTATCCGAGCCACGCAGAAAGGAGCCTTACAGGGATGCCAGAGATAGTAGAGAGCCAATGTCCACAGGAATTGAACCCGTGAGCTGATTACCCCTGAGCGACCTGCCATTCCGTACGAATGTAAGAAGGAAGAACCAGACCAGCAGGTGGGATTTTACCATGGGCAAGCACAAGGGCAGTGACCCCTGTCAGACGGAGGGCGGAGGGATGTTCAAGTTCCCATCACGACGAGCCTCTAGGATGATGATGCACCAGTATGCGAAGAGGAATGCTGGTGGGCTTTCTCAAGGAAAATTTTCTATGAAACTAGGGAAGTAAGAAGAACAGAGAGATTGTGGGGCTCACCAAAGTAAGGAAAATTCATCTGAGCACCACATTTGAAGTACAGCAACCCATCCATTCAAAACACTGGAGAAAGGGGGCGCTCCACGAATGACTTCAATGCATGCACACACGTATGTATGCTCTTTGCTCACGCTCAATATGAGAGATGCTCTCCTGTGTGAGGAAACTGATAGCACTAGAGTAGAGTTCAACTGACAGGCGAGAAACTTGGGTGAGTGTGCTGATGGTAGCAGGAATGCTGCCAGACAGTTGGTTGCTTGAAACATCTCTGAGTGAAAAAAGAATGCCAAATTATAAATATCACTGAGGTTATAGTGAGGTGATACAAGTACGCATGAGCACAAAAAATAAACCGCGGTTCGGTTCGATTTGTTACCGAACCGGTTCTTCTGTTCGGAAGGTTTGTTTTCAACAACTATCCGAGCCACGCCGAAGCTCCAGCTCCCTCATAGCCTAACATTGGTGTGTTTCCCACGGTTCTTTCTAGATACAGCTTCTTTTTATGTTTCAGCTAGTGGTAACTATAATGAATGTGTAAGAAGAGAAACTTGGAAGCCATGGTTGTAAGAGCAGAAGTTGTATTGATTAGACTGTTAAGATACGTTTGAGCAAGGAAGTTGGGAAAACCTAACCAAAGTTAGGGTGTTTTCAGTTTAGGCTATGAAATGAACCTCAACTACAAAAAGAAACTTAAAGTATCTGTGGGAAACACATCAATGTTAGGTGGAGTGGAAGGGGGCGTCGTAGACTATGAAAGAATTGGAGCTTGAAGTAAAGCTACAACCCTCTGTGGTTTCAAGGTTATATTCAAACCCAAACCGGTTCGTACTAAACCGGTGGCATAAGGATAATGGCTCTCAATTCGGATAAAAACAAACCAAACTGCACAGAACCGAATTGTGGTTCCAGGATCAAGCACTAGGACGAGGAGAGGAAGGCTGGTGATAGTCTTGCGGGATTTGGTGTATGAATGAAACTAGGGCAGTAAGTAAAAACCAGTGATATTGTGATGGGAAATAGAACGGGACAGTCTACAACAGGAAGAGTGTATCTGAGCACCACAGTTTACCACACCGCATTCAGTCACAACTCTGATCAAGGGATCTAAATGGGTGCTTTGCAAAATACTTCAATGCATGCATGTACGTTTGTATCATGTCACCCCCTGATGTTGTTAGCCCACGCTCAACATGAAAGAAGCTCCCCTGTGAGAGGAAACTGACAGCACTAGACTAGAGTAGAGTGCCACTAACAGGCGAGAAAGTTGGGCGACTGTGCTGATGGCAGCAGGAATGCTGCCAGACAACTGGTTGCTTGAAACGTCTCTGAATTGAAGCCAGATTATAAGATGTCATGTCACTGGGGTTATGGTGACGTTGTAGCATACAAGAGATGACCAGACTGAAGAGAGGAGGGACAGCGACGAGGTTGGGGAAGACTATACAAAGGGTGATTAGCAAATGAAGATGATCGTCCATTGGAGAAGACGAGACGAGGAAAAATGCCAGAAGAATGTGAGGCAACACGACTGTCGGAATTATGATATTACGGCATCCACTTGCAGAAACTATATTGTGAGGAATTGATCACAGGAGGTGAACAATCGAAACAGGGAAGTGAAGGGGAAATAGGGAAGAACAGAGGGAGACTAAAGAGGTCGTGCTATTCTGAAATGGGGGGGAAGAAGTCCTGGGAGAGCATAGGAGATGTGAGAAGAACAACAAAAGCGTATCTTCTTACATAATTGTCAACTTGGTGAGGACGCCAATGTCTGCCGGGATGGAGCCGTTGAGCTGGTTGGAGGCCAGCGACCTGTCCCACTCAGGGTGTTCAATCAAAGAATGAGCAAAACCCGTGTGCCTTAAGACTTGAAGGCTTGAAGAGTGCGGTTCTGAAAATCTCCACCCCCATCTGGTGCGCAAGTAGTTTTGGTTCGGTTATTGCTCATGCCTAGAAATGTGGGCGAAGCACCTGCAATGGATCCTTACATGGTTACCAGCTTTGTCAGCAAGCCAATGCCAGCGGGGATGGAGCTGGTGAGCTGGTTGTTAGCGAGGGAGCTGTCCGAGACAGGGAGACGAGGGACACGTGGGAGGCGTGCAAGGGAGATGGACAAATTGGTAAGAAGGAAGGTAAGACGGTGATTGTTAGCATGAGACTAGACATGAGGAAGGATCAATCTTGAACCATCTTGAACCTCACCAGCCTGATGGCAGGTGGGGTTCCAATCAGCCATTCAATGCATGCATGTAGGTTTGTATCATGTCACCCCCTGATGTTGTTAGCCCACGCTCAACATGAAAGAAGCTCCCCTGTGAGAGGAAACTGACAGCACTAGACTAGACTAGAGTGTCACTAACAGGCGAGAAAGTTGGGCGAGTGTGCTGATGGCAGCAGGAATGCTGCCAGACAACTGGTTGCCTGAAACGTCTCTGAAATGAAGCCAGATTATTAGATGTCACTGGGGTTATGGTGACGTTCTAGCATACAAGAGTAGACCAGACTGATTGAAGAGAGGAGGGACAGCGACGAGGTTGGGGAAGACTATACAAAGGGTGATTAGCAAATGAAGATGGTTGTCCATTGGAGAAGACGAGACGAGGAAAAATGCCAGAAGAATGTAAGGCAACACGACTGTCGGAATTATGATATTACGGCATCCACTTACAGAAACTATATTGTGAGGAATTGATCACAAGAAACAAGAGAAAGAATCAATGGACCGAAAAGGAGGTGAACAATCGAAACAGGGAAGTGAAGGGAAATAGGGAAGAACAGAGAGAGACTAAAGAGGTCGTGCTATTCTAAAAAGGGGGGGAAAGAGTCCTGGGAGAGCATAGGAGATGTGAGAAGAACAACAAAAGCGTATCTTCTTACATAATTGTCAACTTGGTGAGAACGCCAATGTCTGCCGGGATGGAGCCGTTGAGCTGGTTGGAGGCCAGCGACCTGTCCCACTCAGGGTGTTCAATCAAAGCATGAGCAAAACCCGTGTGCCTTAAGACTTGAAGGCTTGAAGAGTGCGGTTCTGAAAATCTCCACCCCCATCTGGTGCGCAAGTAGTTTTGGTTCGGTTATTGCTCATGCCTAGAAATGTGGGCGAAGCACCTGCAATGGATCCTTACATGGTTACCAGCTTTGTCAGCAAGCCAATGCCAGCGGGGATGGAGCTGGTGAGCTGGTTGTTAGCGAGGGAGCTGTCCGAGACTGGGAGACGAGGGACACGTGGGAGGCGTGCAAGGGAGATGGACAGATTGGTGAGAAGGAAGGTAGGACGGTGGTATTAGCATGAGACTATAAATGAGGAAGAATCAAACAGGTTGGCCCAGTTTGAACCTCGCCAGCCTAATTTTAGGATCGGGTTCCAATCAGCCATTGGCGGTTCGTCACAGGGTTGCCCGAGTTAGGCCTGAATCACTATCGCTGTAATCACATTTTCCAGTGCGTTTTTTTCTCAACGAATGTTTCAGTACCGAATTGGAATAAAAATGTGGTACAAACACAGAGAATCACTGTCTGTAGAAAGGTTGCCCAGCATGTTTTGTGCCGGCCCTACCCTGTCTCGGCCCTTGCTCGTGCTGCCTAACTAGTAGTACTACAATAATCTTTGTGGCACAAGCTGCAAAAAAATAATATATATAAAAAAAAAAGAGAAAAACAATACAACGGATCTTTATTAGGACCTCTGGGAACCCAATTACAAAAAGGTAAGAGCAGTGAGTTTTGTGATCGAGGAGGGCACAGATCCTGACAGCAAGTTGGAGTTGAGAGAGCTGTTGGTGATGTGGTGTGGTGGGGGGTGGACACCCGGGAAGGCAGGATTCGTGTCCGTCGGTGTGTTTGCAGGACAATGTAGAAAAGGGAATGGAGGGAGTCAAGGAAAAGAAATCTAGAAATACCAGAGGTGACAAAATCGAGAGAGACGAAATAGTAGTGTAGGGAGCACACATTAGCATAGGTCTGAGCCAACGGATCAGCTTGTCGGATCGGCTCGTCAGCAGGGCGAGCTGAGCCAAGAATCCTGCTCCGCTGGCTCGGCTGCTAGGTCGTCAAGACTCAGCTCGATGAGTAGGTCTGATCATTGCCGAGCCTTCACTCGCTTGTCCAGAAGGCACGCAACTATTACCCGGTCCACTCGGATCTGGCGGGTAGGTGCCAACACGGATTTGTGAGACTGCTCGTGGAAAAGCCTGGCTCGACCAGCTTGCTACGACGGACGAGGCACAGGCAGCTGCCAGCACGGTCGTCGAGCAGAGTCTCCAGCTTGACTTGTCAGCCCGCCCGCTTGTCACGGCTCAAAACGAGCCAGATCGGCCCAGACTTATGGTCATGTGGCAGAAAGGAGCCTTACAGGGATGAGAGAGATAGTAGAGAGCCAATTTCCACAGGGATTGAACCGGTGAGCAGATTACTTCTGAAGGACCTGCCATTGCGTACGAATGCAAGGAAGAACCAGACCAGCACGTGGTGTTTTACCATGGGCACTGACCTGTGTCAAACAGAGGATGGAAGCTTTTTTTCATCAAGACGTGCCTCAAGGATCATGCACTAGTATGCGGAGAGGAATGCTGGTGACTTTAACTGAGGAAAATGGTTTTTGAAAGCAGGGAAGTAAGGAGAAGGCAGTGAGAATGTCTTGGAAAATGGAACTGGCCGCACCGAAGCAAGGCAGAATCTTTTAAGCACCACACTTGATTGAGCCACAACCCATTCTTTCAATGCATGCATGTATGTATTTATCATGTCACCCCGATATGCTGTTGGAAAAAAGGCTAAAATGTAGTTTCGTATAGAGTAAATACGCATAAAAAGCCGTACGCTGCGATTCTGAAAAAGCACCGAAATACGCACGGGGCCGACCGGAAAATTTATATAAACAAAAACAAAAAGAGTTGATTTTGCGACGTGGCGAAAGCAAATTTGAGTATCGCAATTCAGATCTGAGTTCGCACAGAGGGGTTGCAACCTGCGGTGTGATTTTTTTTACTAATGTGCATCATCCCCTCCTAGAGTTGAGCATTTGGCCCGGCCCGAACCGGCCCGACCCGACTTGGCCGTAGGCATGAGCAACGGGCGAACACCAAACGTGTTTGCCCGAACGTCCCCGAATCTTTTAGTTTGCCGAACATCTACATGTTCGGTCAATTTCGAACATGTTTGATGTTTGAAAATGTGGACTTGGCAGATTCTGACACTAAGTAGATTTCACCACTGTTTCTACGAACGGTAGTGTAGGACTTAAACACCCAAAGGTATCTGTTTTTTTAGGACTGGATCATCCTGTGAAACCCTAACTTACGTAAAAAAACGACTAACTAACGACTATTTAACCTAAGTTACCATCAGGGACCGTTAAGTTGGGCTGAAATGGGCATCAAATGCGCCTACTAATCCTTACTCCTCTGTACTTAACGTAAAAAAGTAGATCGAGGTCGAAATGACCTCGATCTGAGCTTTCCGAAAGAAATACATCCAACCAGCGCGACATTTGTCGCGCTGGTTTTTTCTGAACATCTAATGTTCGGAAAAGGGAGGAAACTTTCCGAACATGTTTGGTGTTCGGAAATTTCCCCCAAGAACTTTCCGAACACTGAACATGTTCGGGTCGAACCTCGAACATGTTTGGGCGAACATCATTCCCAAAAAATACCCCTCAAACATGTTCGAAACGAACATGTTCGACTCGAACGTGTTTGGGGTTCGAAAATATGCTCATGCCTACTTGGCCGGGCCAAGCGGGTTCCCGGGCCGGGTCGGGTCGGGCCAACCTCGGGCCAGGATGTTGAATACCCTGACCCGACCCGGGGGTACAGGGCCGGGTCTTTCCTGACCCGACTTCGGCTCGGCCCGACCCGAGGTCGGGTCAGGTCAGGAAACCAGATTTCGCCCGCGCTCTGTGCAGATCGGCGCTTTCGCCCGCCGATCGGCGCAGACCGGCAATTTCTCCCGCCGATCTGCGCAGATCGGCGATTCATCCCGCCAATCTGCGCAGATCGATGAGTTCGTTGGCTTAACTCTGCAAATCGTCATTTTTCCTGGTCGATCTGGTGGAGATCAGGAGTTTCGCCATGGCACTCGTTTCCGACAAATGTGTCGGAACAAATATTTCCAACCAATTCGCCACTGCTCACCACTCCTTACCGCACTAAATCTACCATTCCCACCCCCCCCCCCCTCCCACTCTTTACAGATCTCTCGACATTGAGCCTCAACAAAGTCGACTTCTAACTTGTCGCATCATTATGTGGCTGCAAACTAAGTAGTTATGCTTCCTAGGTGCCTTTGGTCGCTGGAGGAAGGATATTAGGTGTGCGGTAATGAATAGATGTCGAGGGGAAAATATTACCCTTGACATAAAATGTGTTAGGGTTTCGGGTCCCCCCTCTGTCGAAATCGGGTCGGGCCAAATCCTGACCCGAAAACGGGTCGGGTCAAAGCTGACCCGAAACCCGACCCGACTCGGCCCGAGTCCCATGCTCGGGTCGGGTTTTAGCCCGGGTCGGGTCGGGTCGGCCCGCACGGGGCAGTCTATTGAAACCGCTGACCCGACCCGGGCTAAACCACGGGTCGGGTCGGGCCGGCCCGACCCGAGCGGGGCAAATGCTCATCTCTACCCCTCCTGTCCAGCACTCAACAATCCACTCCAACCCCATCCATTCCCCAATCCCTTCCTGTTGTTGAATGGACGAGCCTTCAACCGGTCTCATATTCCGCAGCAAAAAGTCGGGACATTTATGGGTTCCATTCTCATCATTCGTTTTCTTCCCTTCCGGGCTCACCTGCCATGATGACCTCCACTACTACAACAGCACTCATCACTCTCTTGACCCAACATCTAAATCTGTCCGGGGATTTATTAACCTGCCAGGGTCTGTGTATTTCGTGCGTACACTCCCCCCCCCCCTCCTTCCCCCCCCCCCCCCCCCCCCCCGTGCGCGTATCGCGTACATGCACTTTCGTATCAAACGCGCAACACGTTTCACATGTAGATGAGAAATGCTCCCCTGAGACGAGACTAGAGTGTCACTAACAGGTAAGAAACTTGGGTGAGTGTGCTGATGGTAGCCGGAATGCTGCCCGACAGTTGGTTGCTTGAAAAGTCTCTGAGTAAAAAAAAAATATATATATATATATACATATATATATGTATATTTAAAAAAAAACAAAAAAAACTGGGGTTAATGTGAGGTGGGAGGATACAAGAATGGCGATGAGACAAGAATGGCAATGAGGTGGGAGGATACAAGACAAGAATGGACGGACAGAAGAGAGGCGGGACGGCGATGAGGTTCGTGAATACCAGAAGAGTGAATAGCAAAAGAAGATGGTCGTTTCTTGGAGACGGAAGAAGAGGCATGATGATACGCATACATTTGGGAGAAACATCAAGAGTCACACAAATATGATTTTACGGCATTAATCTGCTGAAAAGAGACTGTGAGAAAATGATTACAAGCAAGAGGCACCTAAGTGGAGATAGACTGGTGAAGAAAATCTTTCAACAGAGAGATGAAGGGAAACAGGAAGGAGTCGAGGGAGAGCAAAGAAGGTGAGGTAAACTGAACAACGCGGGGAAAGAATCTTGGGAGTACACAGGAGATGTGAGAAGAACAACAAGAGCGTATCTTCTTACATGCTTGTCAACTTGGTGAGGACGCCAATGTCAGCCGGGATGGAGCCGTTGAGCTGGTTGGAGGCCAGCGACCTGTCCCAATCAGGGTGTTCAAACAGGGGGGCCAGTGCCATGAGGACGAGTGGTGCAACAATGCGAGGCTAGTAGTACTACTCGAATGAGGAGCTTCTCGACTCTCGCCGCCTCGTCACTTTTGGCAATCACTTTTTTTTTCCTTGTCAGAAGTTATTTTTTACTCATTGTTGAGGCGCGTAGTAGTACTCGCCTACGTCCTTCCGTGGCTAGGTAGGTTACGATGACAATGACGGTGATCCGTGCTATTCGTGGGCATTGGCACGAGCCGAGCAAAACTCGGCTCGTCACAGGTCAAGCTCGTCGAGCTTTTCAACGAGCCGAATTTTGCTCGGACGAGCCTTTTCCGCGAAGAACAGAACTCGCCACTCGTCATGTTTGACGAGTTTTTTTAAAAGCTCGGCCGAGTTTTGAAAAATGCTCGACCGAGTGCGAGCAAAGCTCGGCTCGTACCATTGCAGCCACTCCTAACTATCAAAAGCTAGGGCTAAAGCGTTGCGCGCCTCTGCTCTGCAACGAGCAGGCCAAATAAAAACTTTCAAGAAACAGCTTCGGGAAAGGTGTGGGAGAAATTGGAAAAACAAAAGCTAGGTCGAAATTAAAATTCGTACCCCACAGCCCACAGATTTGTGAACCATTTCGCTTCCAACCAGTTCCCCCTCCCATTACCGATCTTCACCGCACTGAATCTAGAAAACCCAACCAATTTGAGATCTGAAATTGTGAGCGTCAATGTTAGATTTACAAGTTTTAGATCTCGATCAGCTGGATCTCGTGAATGTCCCACAACTAGTTCGTCTGCTATACCAAGATGCCATCGCTAAATCACGACGATATTTTTTTGCTCGTCGAACTGACGAGTGCTCGGCGGGTTCTTAAAACTCGCCGAGCAATACTCGGCTCGGCTCGGACGAGTTTTTTTCCGCCATAGCTCAAACCCGTCACTCGTCCTTGAACGAGTCCACCGTACGAGCCGAGCCGAGAAGCTCGCCTCGTTGCACATGTATAATCCGTGCGTAGCAAGTAATACTCGCCTTGCCCAAGGTGTGCTGCATTTGCACCACTATAAATATAATTTGAAGCGTTGGCTATACAACAGACGGACGTGCCAATTCCTCTGTCAAGAGCACACAAGGATGTGGTGAACATGATATCTACAGGAGAATGCAGAAGCATGTGTGGGACTTGGCTCGTAAAAGCTACACCTCGGCAACACAACAATAGCTTGTTCACAAAGGAAGAGCACAAGGCAGAAGCACATGAGGCAGGCAGAAGCATATGAGACAGAAGGGCACGCTTGGAAAATAGGAAAATTGCTTCTTAGTTGGCGCACGTATCCCTTAGGCGAGCCAGCCATAAGCAAGCTCGTTTGAAGCAGTGGAGTAAATGTCTCACAAAATCGTCAGTGCAGTCAGCTTTGTGATTGAGGAGGGCACGGAGCCAGAAAGCATGTTGGAGAAGAGATAGCTGAGGGAGGCCGCCTCATGACAAGGCAAGGCAAGGTGTATTGTATTGACAGAACAAAGAGGTTGCGCAACATGAAAAGAGCAGGATACGATCGCCAGCTTTGTTCCTAGTATTCCATTCCCTTCATTCACAACCCAGCTTCCTTTCGAGTTCTGGAGACTAAATTTGCGACAACATGTCATCACATCAGCTCGGCTCTTTTAACCGACATCTGTACCCCCAACTCTTTTCCCAACCCGTTCACTCCCCCCAAACTTCTCCAGACCGCACTCCCTCTACGCATCCAATCCCAACTCGTCCACTAAAAGAACTCGACTTACATGATAGGGGGGTCATGTTTCTTGCCCATGTAAACGTCCGTAACTCTAACAGATGTAGCGGGCCCAGTAACACATTTTTCCCTTCCCCTATCACCCACTTAACAGACGTCCGTATCAGCAAACACTGCGTATTTCTAGCATCTGCCCCATCCCCCCGCGAGTGTGAGGCGCATTTAAGCTAGCGTGTAAACAGGTAGTGTAAAATAGACCACCTCTTTTTTCCATCGGGAAATGTTGGAATGATGGGAGGAAAGGAACACAAGTGATAAGGGGAGCGAGCAAGGAAGGGAGCAGCCAAGGCAAGTAGGGCAGGCAGAGTAGAGTGCAGTGCAAAAAAAATGAATATACAAGCACACGTGGAGGACGTAAGAGGAGTGGAGAAGGGACGAGTGATGCCCGAAAGAGCAGCAGCAGCAAGAAACCTCACAGGGTGATCATGCTGGTCAGTGAGCCAATGTCAGCCGGGATAGCGACGGTGAGCGTGTTGTTGAAGAGCCACCTGCACGGACAGAGAGACAGGGGTTGTGTGCGTACGAGCATGCGGACATGCGTGCGTGCGCATGCACGGACAGGGAGAGAGGAGGCCAGAACAAAGAAAACACGTGGCAGGGCCTTGACCGGTGTGCATTACACTCACAGGTGTTGCAGCAGGCTGAGCGCAGTCACGGTGGCAGGGATGCTGCCTGGCAACTGGTTGCTTGCAAGATCGCTGTGGGGACACGATGACGGTAGCAAAGGGGGGCGGGCTTAGCAGTTGAGCAAACCACAAGGAAGAAAAACCACAAGGCCTGCCCACCTTTGCGACCAGACCGGCCCGTGTTGCCCGCCCATCGCCGAGCCGAGCCTTAGCCATGGGCCTGAGCACGGGTCCGAGCCGAGCCAGCTTGGCTCCAGCTGGAGTCAGCTGTCGTTATCCCGAGTTGAGCCAAGTCTGCGCAACACGAGCCCAGCTGACTTTTGTTCGGCTCACAAATGGGCCATTCCGGTGAGCCGGGAGTTGGCCTGGCCGGCCACAAGCCACCCTGCCACAAGCGGCCGGCCACAAGCCTCTATTGGCTTGCCTGTGAATTGGTTCTGCTCGAGTACCTAAGTTGCGGAAGACACGTCTAGCGTCATAGACGCGGGCGTCTAGACGCAGCGTCTAAGACGCTAGACGCGCGTCTTGGGCAGATTAGACGCTGGGATAGACGCAAGCCCGGGCAGGCAAAAAAAAAGGACAGGCAGCCAAAAGAACGTTCTATGGGGCATGGGGAGGGGGGGGGAGAAGGACATTGCACACATTTTGAACAAAAGGGTTGAGGGTGTTTTAAGGAGAATTGAGTTGTGTAAACCCCAAGGGTTTTTGAAGGAGAATTGAGCTGAACTAGATATGAGCACAAATGAGGTGGTTGTGCTCCAATATGCCTTTGGTGGTGGTCCACAAAGAGCTTTGGGGTTGAAATTTAGGTTAGGGGTTAACAATATTTGGTTGGGGGAGCTGTTTTTGGTGGTCGAAATGGGTGGGAGGGGGTTCAAATTTCGCGAAATTGAATTTCGCGTCAAAATTGCGAAATTCAATTTCGCGCGCGCGAAAAATATTACGGGCTGCCCGAAAAAATTACCCCATGCGTCTAGCGTCTACAGGTGCGTCCTGCGTCTAGCGTCTAGACTCTGCGTCTAGACGCTAGACGCAGGACGGTCCTGGCGTCTTCCGCAACTAAGTCGAGTACTACTCGACAAGTCGTACTACTGGAAGCGAAATAATGGTGGATTCTCAAGAAATTAGAGCTAACCAAGGTTTTGGAAGGATATGGTGATGTGGAGAAGTATGGGCCTAGCGAGGGGAAGGAGCAGAAAGTCTGAAAAGAACCAGACATAAAGCTGAAAGAACCAGACATCATCCCAAAAATGGCATTCGGGAGGGGTTGGTTTGGGGGTACGAAGTTTGTACTATGTGCCGGGGTTTATGCTGGAGGGGGAGTACGGGGTGTGTTCAAACCACAAACGCACTGCCATGGGTGGGTACTTTACAGCCTGCATAAACCAACCAATATGCTCGCGACATAGTGGGACATGCCAAGTAACAACACTGAACCCACTTCGCATGAACTCTATCTAGACTTTACACGTCGCTTATACCCAGTGCATACCAGACATTCGCAGTGCCAAACACAGTTGTGAGCATCGATCATTTCATAAGCGAACAGTCAGGTTACGGATGTTTTGTTTTCGCACATGCGTGACGAAAAGGGAAGAGCAACGCTACTGGCTATATCTTGTGAAGTAAAAAGTTGGAAACTGAACCGTCGATGAGAAACGAGGCAGAACGGTGAAGATTGAACCAGAAATGTTTGCTGGTTGGAATGAGAACCGTTGATCTGATCTATCACGAACGATCTAGATTTGTGATGAACAGCTTCAGGAAGGTGGAGGTTGGCAAATTCTAGAGATGTAATTTCATTGGGTGGTAATCGACGGTTCAGATCAGTTCAGATGAATCTTATCTTGATTTCACAGCTTGCATGAGATTGGCCTGCCCTACATCCAAGTCGAGCAAATATTTATGCGCTGTCAGCTGCAACATTCTGCCATTGCACAAACCCCAGTTGCATTTCTCTCAACAAGTCCTCTCAAGTGCTACCGTTGTTCTAGGCAGTCACAACTACCATCTACCAGTCGGCCGTTTCAGGTACGCTATGCTTCTGCGTGTAGGCTTCCCGCGTTTTCATCTTTGTTTATTCCTCGTGCGTGTCTAATCTTCGCATACTGCGCCTTCCCCTTTCTCTCCCCAACCCTTCCATCTCCTTTTCCGCCAGTCGCGAAGCTGCGAAATTGACGCCTCGACGCTGCGACAACGACTCGTCGGTGCTGCGACATCTACGAGCGACGCGGCGACATCTACTGTGAAGGCCGCGGCATCGACGTTCAACACGGCGACATCAACGCGTGACGCGCACATCAACGCTGTAGCGTTGACGCGGCGATGGCGATGCTGCGGCATGTATTTGTTGTTTTAAGACCAGCCTGATTACGTGCTCTCGGAACTCCCAAGTCCAACGGCCGTCCCTTAACTCTTCCGGTCGCATCAATTTAATCCCCACTTCTTCCCTTTGCATCATGCTTCGAACCACCCCTGCATATCACTCGCTTATTTCCCTGCATGCCCTCCGCAAATTTCTGCCCCTTGCCTGTTACTCCCCCACACTGTCTCTCCTCACCATGGCGCAGGACGTTGCAAAACCGCATCGTGCAATTGAGCGCACATCGCCAAGGGTTATGATGTGGTCTCATTAGCCCAAGTTTTGTGTGTTTTTATGCCTGTACGTGTTTTGTAATAATAATACTTAAAAAATCTAGATATGGATTTTCTGATACAATTGAGAACATGTGCATGATTATGGGCGCCTGAATCGGGAGGTGTTTTAGGGCGTTTCAATGCTTGTAGGTACAATGTATTGCTGCTAGTGTTGCAAGTACAATGTAGCTACTTCGCTCATTCTGCATATGAAGATGTGAAGTTGCTACTTTGTACGATGAAGTCGCTACTGTGTACGACGTCAGTAGCTACATTGAACGGAGAGGGTGTACCTACGCGGTCCCAACTTTGTGTGTACTGTACCCCCCCGTGCGAAGTAGCTGCATAGTTGCAAAACCTATTTCTACACAGTATGGTTGTGAGAGTCGAGACTCTGCATGTACAGTGTATATTGTATGCAGGTACACTGTACCAAACGCTCCCCCTTTTTGGGATGATGAAGCTGAAAGAACCGGACATGAAGCTCATTTTAACCCCAGATTGACAACCGCAACTCGAATTCCTACTTCGCGTCTCCTCAACTAGCTGCTACAAGACTCGCCGAAGCACGCCACATGCCAGAAAAGCACTCAGGGCGGGCTCGCTGCGAGCTGCAACGCACAGTCAGAGGCTAGGCTTGATGGTTTTCCGAGCCAATCCTCGGCTCGTTTAGTTGGTCAGGCCAACTTAGCCAGCCACATGGATAGACAACTGGCCACAACTTTTAATTAGACAACTGGCCAGTGAGGTACAGGGGATCGGAGGAGGTAAGAGGTCTAGGGATAGAGAGATAGGGGGAGAGAGCAAAAAAATGTTAACGGCATTACAGGGAGGCCAGAAAAGGGAACCGGGGGCAAAGACAGGGAAAAACGCGGGAGGAGGGAGGGTGGGCTGGAGAAGAGGTGGTGAAAAGAAAGCTGTGCTGTGGGAAGAAAGGTGGAGTGGCATTTCCCTGAAGCAAAATCTGAGGCCCTGAGTCTCAGGGCAACACGGCACTGAGGACGTACAGTTTAATGAGCTTCTTGAGGCTGCTGAGGGAGTTTGGAATCTGCCCTCCCAGCTTGTAGTTCCGGAGTTGCCTGTTTTATGGTGTGGTGATGTTGTGTTTGTGTGTGAGTGATGGTGTCACAATGATGGTGAGTGAATGGTGGTGTGACAATGATGGTGAGTGAATGGTGGTGTCACAATGATGGTGAGTAAATGGTGGTGTGACAATGATGGTGAGTGAATGGTGGTGTCACAATGATGGTGAGTGAATGTGGTGTGGCAATGATGGCGTGTGAATGATGGTGTGCCAATCTAAGTTGCCAAATACGCTCAACCCCTTCAGCGTATAGCGTATGTACGCTAGCGTTTGTACGCTATGCGCTATACGCCCGCGAATACGCTATACGCTTTCAGAAACTTTTCCGGGCTGCCAAAAAACAATTATCGCGAAATAGTTGCGGAATTTCTAGGTGAGCATTTCGCCGAAGTCGAAATGAAAATCCGTGGTCTAGGCTAGCTGGGATCTGACTTCGAAGTTTTCAGGCACATTTGGCACAAATGTCGAATTTCAGATCTACACATTCATTGAAACCCATCTCATCTACCGCATTGAAACCCATTCCAAACCCAACCCATCTACAAACTCCAACCCTTCAAAATCGACCCCTAGCTGCTAATTCGTCATTTCTCACGAATCATTCCCGCTTCCAACAGCGTTCCTCCCGCCCATTCCAACTTCTCTCTCTAGCTGAAATGTCTACCCCACCTCGCGCCCCACCCGCCGTTCGGACTCCGAAGAATGCTGCTAGGGCACGTCATAGAGAGAATACGGAGTAATTTTTTCCTCACCCTGCCCGGAAAGTTTTTTCCCGGAGCGTATGTCCACATCGACCCCCTACGCGGATAGCGTACATACGCTAGCGTATATACGATACGCGTATATACGCTATAAGCGTATTTGGCAACTTAGGTGCCAATGATGGCGTGTCAAATAACGGTGAGCACTGAGCATGGGTTCTCAAAAATGGCAATAAGTACATCATGGCCTCTCAGACTCAACCTCTGACTCCCATACTCTCACTCCGAACCTCTCACTACCATCCTCTCACTCCCATACTCTCACTCCCATCTTTAGTTGGCTTGGCACTTCACGCTTACGGGGGTTTACGTGTACGTGACATATGATTCTCCTATGCTAAGCATTTTAACAACTTACATCACCTTACAGATGCTTCGTGCATACACTGCCATGTCACTGCCTCGTGATGGTCGGATCGGATGGGGCTGCATATTTGGGGTAGCCTTTGTTTTTTTCTTTTGCCGTGCCCGAGAAACTTCAATCTAAATTACGAGTAGTGAAAGGTAAAGGTAAACTTACACCTTTGCGTGACCTAAAAAAACGTAAAACTGCCAACTAAGCTCCCATCCTCTCACTCCCATCCTCTCACTCCCATAGCCTCCCTCGCATCGCCTCTCTCATCGCCTCGCCTTACATGATCACGATCATGCCGGAGGGGTCGCACGTGAGGCCCGTGGCACTGCTGCAGTCCGGACTCTCGCCACTCCACCCGGAGATGCTCCGCCCCCACTCCTGCAGGAATTTCACTGCAACGAGTGGCAGTGGGTGGGGGTCGGGGTGAAGTGGGGGGTGAGGTGGGATGGGGAGGCCCTCCCTTGGAGGGTTTGGAAACTCTCCACAACAAACCCCATGGCTGGCATCGGTCTGAAGACGACTCACGCTCAGTGATTGCCATCCTGTGTCGCCCTTGCCCATGTCGCTCCATCTCGCCTCTCTTTTGCAACGCTTGTCGCAAAACTCACCCACAGGGACGAAGCACTTATGGAGCCTGCTCTGGCCGACAAACATGTCAACACCTGTGCTGGGATGGGACGTCACCCACAGCACTACTGCAAAATTTAAAAATACATAACATTTCTCACATCTTGTGCCTGTCTTGGTGCTCTAGCAGGTCCCACGACCTTGCTCTCTGCCCCTCGACCTTGCTCTCTGCCCCTCGCCCTTGCTCTGTCCTTCGTCCTTGCTCTCTGTCCTTCGCCCTTGCTCTCTTTCCTTCGCCCTTTGTTCTCTCCCCTTCGCCCTGTTGCTCTCTGTCCTTCGCCGTTTGCTCTCTGTGCTTCGCCCTTGCTCACTGCCCTTCGCCCTTTTCTCTCTGTCATTCGCCCTTGCTCTCTGTCCTTCACCCTTTTGCTCTCTGTCCTTCGCCCTTTGCTCTCTATCCTTTCGCCCTTTGCTCGCCCTCGTTCTCTGTACTTCGCACTTTGCTCTCTGTCCTTTGCCCTTGCTCTCTGTCCTTCGCCCTTGCTCTCTTTCCTTTGCCCTTGCTCTCTGTCCTTTCGCCCTCCTCTCTGTCCTTCGACCTTCCTCTCCGCCCTTTGCCCTTGCTCTCTGTCATTCGCCCTTGCTCTCTGTCCTTTGCCCTTGCTCTCTGTCATTCGCCCTTGCTCTCTGTCCTTCTTTCTTCCTCTCTGTCCTTCGCCCTTCCTCTCTGTCCTTCGCCCTTCCTCTCTGTCCTTCGCCTGGTCTGGGTCCTTCGCCCTTGCTGTGTCCTTCGCCCTTCGCTCTCTGTCCCTTGGCCTGCCAGGCGGTCATGCCGCCGCACGGGTGGCGCGTGTGGGGTGACAGCGGTGCAGCGAGCCAGCGGATCATACGCCGTAAGATACGCCATTTCGGTGGCAGCCAGGCATGATGTTGATGCTTGATGCGGCTCTTCCGCTTGCCGCGCCGCGGGGTTTCGGAGCGATTTCCACGCGAATTTCCATAATTGATTCAAATGAGCCAGTCGCCTTCGAGAGACACTTGCCTTGAGTGGCTTCGAGAGGCACGGCCTTCACCATCGCGACGGGCGCGACAAGGACGGCGAGCCACCACGCCAATGCCCACGCGCGCTGCACGCGCTCACGATCACGTGTCGTCGCCGTTGAGCCCGCGGCAGCCGGCCCCCCAATCATCACAAAAATCCCTAACTAATTTGGCCCTCGCCTCCTCCTCAAACCCTTTGTCTCCTCGGGGCCCCACCCGCAACTGACTTTCGGCCTATCTAAGTGGTTCGCTGACCCACCGACTCTGACGCACGAAAAGCGCCAAGCCGGTACTAGTACTTCTACGAGTGGGCTGCATTCCTGGCTTTCCAAACTAGGGTGAGCCGTCACACACCAACCAAAAGTTGTTGGGAGTGAGTTCCGAATGTTCCTAATATGAAGTGCCCCTCACCCACGTTCAGGGCGGGTCTAGTCGATGGCTTCGTCCGCTTCACTGTTCCTTATTCGCGTCTCTTAAAGGATTTTCATTATCTTTAGAACAACCTCCCCAACATAATCTTTAGAATAACCTCCTTAACCATATCTTTTTGTTACCATTAGTGGAATTGAGTGAGCGAACGAAGATTGCACTATTAAAGCATATCCATACAATGAGCAAAGGCATGAGGGAGTTGTTATATTGCAAAACAAGATGGTAACGGTAACGAGCGACAAGTGGGGTGCCTTACGGGGCTAGCGTCGAGGTATGGAATTGTCGAGGCTTAGGGTCGTGTCGCGAGTTACTAGTCGAGCCAAGTGGTTTGGGCGCGACGGTCGTGGTGGCAGGAACAGTAGTTGAGGCGAATATCGCGAGGTGCTTAAGGGACACTGTTTGGTTGTGATGGAGGGAATAGTGTTGTACGCGGTATGTGAGGTGACGCAAAGTAAGGAAATGATGATCCCTTACACTACCTCCTCTCCCCGAGGGAGGCTTTTACGAAAGTACGTTGACATCGCGGAGAAATCTGCTGCGAAGGTAGTCCGTGACGACTGGATACGTTTCGATTTTGGACCCTCGGACCCAGCGGAGCTAGAATTCAATATAGCGGGCTCCACGTAGATCACGAACATTGTAGCTGAGGACCTCCCTCCCAATTCTCCTCGCTCCCTGCTGTCACTGTCTCTGTCAGATCTTAGGCGCATCTACTAGCAGCATTTGTTCCCTTCCTAAGAGTAGGTATTATGGGGACACGCCTCTCAATGCAACCTGTTTGTACCCCACCACTACCCACAGAAGCCTCGCATCCCAGTCCCTCTTGTACCTCTCCCCATCGGCTCTCAGCCCTCTTTTCACCGTCTATACAAACCTCTCTGTTAACTCGTCACTCTATGGGTGATACCTTGAGGCTTTGTGGTGTGTGATTCCTGTCTCTATCAGCGGCTTCTCAAACTCACCCCAAAACTCTGTCCCCTGATCCTGCAGCACTTCTCCACACGCCCCACATCTTGTGAGCACCTGCTCCTCGAAAGCTTCTAATATGCGCGCCGAGTTTTTACCAGGTAACGCTCTCACCTCTACCCATTTTTACATGTGCTCGATCATTATTGGTATGTACCGTTTTCCTCTGCGGCTCAGCGCCATTTCCCCTGCCAGGTCAAAGGACCACTTGAATCACAGGCCCCTTCTTGGCAGTGACTGCAGTTCCTCCCTCCCTCCCTCTAGCTCCACCTTATTCCTACTGCACAACTCGCAGCTCTCCACCCACTTCTTAATCTATCTCCTCATTCTTGCCCACCACCAGCCCGTTTCTACCAGCTGTGTCATTCTTAAGCTTCCAAAATGCCCCAACTGCCTGCGCACCTTAGCTATGGTGCCCTCTCTTTCCTGTTTTCTAGGAACCACCATCCACCCGCTTTTCGTGCTCTTCTTCAACTGCTCCTGGTACCATCTGTAATGTGCGCCTTTTGCCCTTGCCCTGTCAGGGATTGGTTCTGCCTCTGTCGTCTTCCCTTTTACCCACCGAAGTATTTCCTCATCCTCCCGCACTTCCTCTGGCCCTATCTCTTGCCCACGCCTTGCTCCCTCTCCATCGATTTCCCTGGCCAATGCTACTAGACATGCTGTCGGCCTTGCTGGCAGTAGGTTCCTTGACAACCCATCCACGTGCTGCATTGATTTGCCTCGTTGGTGACTTATGGTGAACTCATATTCCAATAGCCACATCGTCATGGCCTAGCTGATCATTAGCATGGCCACTGGCTGGTGCTCTGTCATTCCCTGTAAGTACAATTAGTAGTATGTTATTGCCCACACCTGTAGCTGGCTCTCCCCTTCGTAGGAGCTGTAGCTGGCCTCGGCTGGATTACAGCTCCTATTGGCAAAGGCCATCACTTTCTCCTTGCCTTCTCTCTCCTTGCATAGTATTGCTCCCACCTTTGAGTTGCTCTAGTCTGTATATAGCATGAACAGGTCCTCCTTGATGGGTAGCGTTGGCACGGTTACCGTCTTGATTGCCTTCAGCAGAGCATAGAACGCTCCTTGCTCCATCTCTCCCCATTACCACACTTGTTAATCTCTCAGCCGCCAGCTGGATTGCTACAACCCCTCGAGCCACCCGAACGACCGTGGCAACAGGTGACGATGAATTTTGTCACGGGGCTGCCACCTGGGCCGTCCGGCAACAACGCTGTTCTCATCGTCGTCAATCACCTCACGAAGATGGCGCACTTCGCACCATGTCGTAGAACAATCACAGCCGAAGAAATTGCGCGCCTCTTCATCTCGACCGTCGTGCGACTGCACGGAATAACATCAGCGATTACCACCGATAGGGACCCGAAGTTCACGTCGAAGTTTTGGAAGGAAACGTGGGCGCAGTACGGCACGAAGCTACAGTTCTCATTGGCATATCACCCGCAAACGGACGGCCAGACTGAGCGAACCAATTAGACGATGGAGCAGCTGATCAGGACAAACTGCCCCGACTCCGCTCGCTGGGAAACTTCGCTCGCCATGCTGGAGTTCGTGTTCAACAATGCCCCGTCCAGCACGACTAATCGCTCCCCGTTCTTCTTGATTTACGGGACGGGGTGGTGCCTACAACGACTACAATTGACAACCTGGTCCCGAGGTCACAAACTTTCGTGACAGAACTCCAAGAGATTCGCGAAAAGGCAGCTGATGCCATCCGCAAGGCGAATGCTACTTCCCGAAAATACACCGATCTTCTGCGACGGGAGATTATCATGACAGCTGGGAAACCAGGGCTCTTGCTAACTATTTGGGCCGTCTGATGAAATATATACACATATATATATAGATATATATACATATATATATATATTTTGTCTGACCATCATATGAGGGATCCTGGGTGATCTGATTTTCATATTGTTACGGGTGCGATTGAGCGAGTGAGCGAGAATTGCACTATCGAGGCAAATAATACAATGAGCGAAGGCATGAGTGAAGAATATATAGTGAACTACAGTCGTAACACTAATGCGTGGAAATGGGGTGCGCGACGGGCCTAGCGCCGATGTTGGGAAAATGTCGAGGCGGAGGTCCGGAGCGCGGGTTGCCAACTGAACCGTGAGGTTGGGTCGCGGTGTGAACGGGAACAGTGTCAACACGAGTGGTAACGGCTTATTGTTGGGTGCTGTTGGTGGGAACAATGGTGTACGCGCTGAGCAGGGACGCGAAGTAAGGAAAAGGAATTTTCCTTACACTACCCCCCCCCCCCTAAGGAGGCCCTCCTTACGAAAGCACGTGTACATCCCGGAAATTTCGGCTGCGCAGATACTCGGCGAGGACGGGGTGGTTTTCAATTCTGTCCAGGGGAACCCAGTTGTCTTCGGTGGGCGTGCGATCTTTCCAGCGGATCAGAAGTTCGATCCTGCGAGCTCCCCGTGGGTCACGAACTCTGTGGCTCAAGATTTTCTCGGGCGTGATGATTGGCTCCGTTGGCGGTCGTGTCATGCTGGCGGGCGGTTGCGAGGCAGTTGGCTGGTGGATGGTATGTATGGGCGGAGGAGGCTGGAGTGGAATGACGGGCTGACGTACCAGTCAGCATGGAGGAGGAGATGGGCGGTGACGGGGGTGATCATGTGGCTGATGCGGAATGGCCCACAATATCTGGGGCGGAGTTTTGGGGTAATGGGCAGGCGGAGGTTCTGATTATCGAGTAAAACTAGGTCGGCGTTGCGCTTAACGATGATGCTTGATTTTGACAGGTTGGTGGTGGCGGTCGGCGTTGCGCTTAGCGATGATGCTTGATTTTTTTATTGCGTCTGCTGCTCTGTAAAATTTATGCGAACTGTTGCGCGCATGGCACCGGGTTGTCGGGATTCGGAGTCATGGGTACTGTGGGGTCTTGTCCGTAGTTCAGGTAAAACGGTGACTGTTGGGTCGTGGCGGATGGCGAGTTGTTGTACGCGAACTCGATGAGCGGCACTTGCTATTCCCACGTGGTCAGGTCGTCGCACGTGGCTCGGATGAGCTGTTCGATGGTCTGATTTGTCCGTTCTGTCTGTCCGGCAGTCTCGGGGTGGTACAAAGAACTGAACTGTAGTCGCGTGCCGAACTGCTGCCACAGGTTCTGCCAGAAGTTGCTGGTGAATTTCGTATCAAGGTCGCTGATGATCGATGCTGGTATCCCGTGTTGTCGAACGACGGTGGAGATGAAGAGGCGGGCTGTTTCTTCGGCTGTGATCGATTTCTTGCAGGCTGCGAAGTGTGCCATTTTCGTCAGCCGATCGACGATGACCAGGATTCCGTCGTTCCCACTTGCTCGAGCCGGTAACCCCGTGACGAAGTCCATCGCCACCTGCTGCCAAGCACGCTCTGGGGGTGGTATCGGCTGCAAATGTCCTGCCGGCCGC